AGCTCAGACTCATCAAGCTTACGCCACTGACTCTTAGGCTCATAGACTTGCGGGAGGTGCGGAATGTCAGACTTAAAACCCAAAGGAACCCCGGTGCAGAAGCAATCGGTGCCCTCAGTGAGGATTTCCCAATCTGGGTCGCACAAGCGCTCAGCGGTCCTGGACAAGGCTTTCAACAAGAAAGGTTGGGCCTCTGGGATCTCCAAAATGTCATCTCCTTGCCCGGCACCCAAAAGCTCAGCCCAGCTCGCACGAAGGCCCTGAATCTTCTCTCCAGCGAACGGTGATGCCTCAAGTTTGCCTGAGAGGATGCTCATGCACAGATGTTTCGGATCTGGCACATGTTCGGTGATGAATTGCGTCACCATGCGATACATTGACTGGGCGTGCGCGGTAGCTTGCGGGCTCAAGCGATGTCCACGGTCCATAGGCCGCCACCGAGAGGGCGAGCACAGTCCAAAGCCATCAGTGATGTCTGCACACTGGCCCTCCCACTCAACTTGAATGGGCTGGCCCCGGTTGCCACAGGCTTCAGGCTTAAACTGAACAGGTTGGTCTGCCACAGGTTCTTTGGGCCCGTGGGCCTGGGTCGCTATGGCTTCTGATGTCTCAGCGCTTCCCGCCTTGTTCGTCGTGGGCAACAAGAATCCCAAGCTCAAGAGGCGCTCGATGTCGGGCGGGTCCAAGGTATCTGTCTTATCTGTCACGTATGCCACAAGGACCACTCTTCGGCCCGACCAAGGACGCGTGGCATGGTACACACGCCAAGCCTCAAACGTGATCGGGCCATGGCAAACCTCTAGTAGTGTCCCTGGCCTTGCCCCGTCAGGTGTGTCCTCCCACGCATCGCCACCTTCTTGCTCCTGCCAGATTTGCCCTCCGGTGAAGGCAGAAAGTGGCGCCACTAAGTTCGGCTGGTGTGCGTTCCGAGCGTCCCGATGCACGGGAGTGCGAACGTTTTCAAAAATCGATATTGCCGAGGCCAAGAAACCTGGGGCAAGTTGCTGCAAGTACTTGGTCAAGACAGTGGTAGCAAATGGCAACGCAACAGTGTTATGCCTCAGACCCACAAGAGAACCTTTGCAGTACGCACCGGTTGTGAATGAACTGCACTGCCGGTCGTCATCTGGTTTCCTCGGTGGTTCCTCGCGCGGCAACCTTTCGAAGAGTCTAAGGATCTGCTCACGAGTCAAGGGCGAGCCTCCGTCCAACAAAGACTTGGCAAAGCTCTCCGGGCTTTGGGTTCCTGGCTCCGGCTGCGGCCCATCATTATTGTTCGACTGCCCAAGGCTGGCCTTAGGGGTACTTTGGTGGACTAAACCCGAAGCAGACGCAGGGGCCGGGCGAGAAGGGGCTAAACCTGAAGCTTTCACAGACTTGGCAGATGGCTCTGGCACAACACTGGAGGCCGGTTCAGGCATCGGCAACGAGGTAGGAGCCCCCCGTTCTGCTTGCAGCGAGTAGTCGATGGCTGCCGTAAGGAACTGACTGAAGGGCACAGGCCAGTCGCGGTTTCGCGACAAGTTCCAATCTTGGGATTGCTGGGATTTGCCCGTGGTTGGGTCATGCTTGCCATGCGGGCACGCGGGCAGCTTGCTGAAAGGTCGAGGTGTATGCTTGAAGAAAGGAAGATTGGTGAGGTAGCGAGTGGGCTTGGCCACGGGCGCACCAAACTCACACATGTAATGCACGAATGTTGTAGCGGAGAAACGCGGTATGAAATCAAGCAGCTCAGGCCAAGCCCAAATTGAGCTCGGCACACTGTTGTCTGGCATGCGGCCGAAGTGCTCCGGTGCCTCCCACATGAAGAAGTTACCAGCCTCGGCCGCGAAAATTGTGGCTTTCAAACACTGATCAATGAAACGATTGGCAAACGTCACCTTATGCACCAGGGAGTCCTTAAGCCATGGAAAACCCCGGGGCCACTGCGAGTTGCGCAAGGGCGGCGGTCCGGGCCGCTTATGCCGTGCCCTGCTAAAGGTATCGTAAGGCGGTGAAAACAAAAGGATTGTCTGGGGCCGTTGGGAAAGCTCAAACAGCTCTTGCCAAGCAGAGTCCTCAGAGATTGTGTCCATGCCGAATTCAAGCGAAACAAAAGTTGGCTGCATCACTGACTGTTGGAGCTGCGGCCCCAGATCGATGCGCCCAGCAGGATCAGCAAAGA